CATCATCTGAACTCCGGGATCAAGTCATGCATGGAATGAGTACTTCTGAATTTTTCAAAAATCTGAGCCCATAAAAATTTCTTTTTTTATTTTTTTGCGGGGCGGGGAGGCACAGTAACCAGGGATTATTGAATCAGGGGTGCTTAACCATTGAGCTACATCCCCAGCCTTTTTTATTTGAAGGCAGGGTCTCGCCAAGTTGCTAAGGCTGGCCTCAAACTTGTGAGCCTCCTGACTCTGCCTCCCAAGTTGCTGTGGTTACAGGCCCACACCACCATACCCAGCTCTTCTTTTTAATTTATTTTGCTCAAGTTAAATCCATTTGAATTGTGTTTTCTACTGCTAGCCGTCAAAGGAATCCTAAGTTCATTTTAAGAATACTTAGCCACACAAAATTCTGACTGACCACATATTTCAACTTTATAAAGTGGGATCAAAGGGCATTCCCCATTTATACTTTAATCCATATCTACAACCCTAAATTCTTCATGTGCCCTATTTTCAACAATATGGGTGATCCTCCAACACATACTGTCACTGGTACCAACTGGAGTCAAACCTGCCCCAGAGTCTCACGTTCTGTACCTAAACACTGGCCAGCTACATGGAAAGACTGCCACACAGGACTTTCCCTCCCACGTGCCACAAAACAAACACATGTGAACCAAAGAGTTAAAAAAGATTAACATCAAAAACGCAGAAAAAATTAGCCGGGCACGGTGGCACACATCTGTAATCCCAGAGACTCAGGACGCTTTGGCAGGAGGATCATGAGTTCAAAACCAGCCTCAGAAACTCAGCAAGGCCCTAAGCAACTCAGCAAGACCCTGTCTCTAAATAAAATATTAAAAAGGGCTGAGCATTGAGGGGGCTGGGGCTGTAGCTCTGTGGTAAAGTGTTTGCCTCACATGTGTGAGGCACTGGGTTCGATCCTCAGCACCACATAAACATAAAGATATCCTGTGTCTTTCTACACCTAAAAAACATTTTTAAAAAGCAGGGAAGGGTTGGAGGTGTTGCTCAGTGGTTAAGCACCCCTGGGCTCAATCCCTGGTACTAAAAGAAAAAAATATAGATAACGATTTATCTCTGAATAGAAAATAACTTTCTAATATCAAAAATGGCAACAGAATAAATTGTGAAAAGTACTGACAGATCTCTCATGTAAAAATTTTAAACCTGTGAATCCAAAAGCATCAAAAACAGCCATTTGGAAGAAAGGATCTATTTGACAAAAAAATAAAAGCAACAGCAACAAAGGACTAATATCGTTAATATACATACAAAAGAAATTAAATGGCTAATAACCGTTCAACCACTTTTTAAAATATTCTTAGTTGTAGAAGGACACATATCTTTATTTTGTGTATTTTTATGTGGTGCTGAGGATCAAACCCAGTGCCTCACATGTGCCAGGTGAGCGCTTTACCACTGAGCCACAACCCCAGCCCCAACGCTCGACCCTATTAAAAAAAAAAAAAAAAAGCAAATTAAGACAGCTTCAGTTAACAGAAGCCATCTCTGAGAAGTGGCCTCGCAAATGGCCCCACTATCTCCTGTGCACGCTTTTCCCAGTGCGCGTGTGTCCCTTGGCTACAGAACGAGGACGCCCTCCTGCTGCTCCCTCCTGTGTGTCCTTTGGGGTTCCTCCTGATGACAGGACCCAGAGTGGCAGCGTGCAGGAGCTGGGCGCCTGGCTCCCGCCCGGGAAGGGTATAAATCAAGGCAGTGCACACCTTCTGGAAAGCAGCTTGGCATTAGGCACCTAGAGTCTCAAAAATATCCACGCCTCCTGACCCTGTAACCCTCCTTCCAAGAATCTACGCTAGGGAACTATCCAGAGACGTGGACAGCGATGTACAGATGAAGACTTTCATACAGTGTTAATAATGCAGAAAGTGGGGCGCAACAAGCTCACCTCGGATGCTGGAGCTCAGGAACCACAATGTGTTAAGAAGGTATCAAACACAGAAGCCCAAATCCCAGGAAAACCCCAGGGCTCCACTTTTTAATGCAAACTACAATCCCAGATATGTGAAGGTGACATTTTTCCTTCTTTAAAGTTATGATTTAACTTTCTGAATAACCGTCTTGGGTACGTAGCTGTGATTTTTACTTTGGGTAAAAGTAGGCTTCAAGCTGTTTTCCTAGAGAAGAGACTACAGATGAGAAGGAGGAAGGAGGGCGGAGAGGAAGACAGACAACTCTTTCCCCAGAGAACTCCAGGGACGTCCCCACTGTCCCACACACCACACCAAGCTTTCCACAGGTCCTCCAGCGCTCGAGGGGCCACCGAGTTACTCCAGCGGCTCATAATGACTTTCAACTTCTGTTTATATTTCACGATATTCACAAATTTCACAAATTACTCATAAATCTTCCAAATATTTTATTATTTCATATTTACTTAACACGGGTTCAAAGTCTTTTATTACATGCATCTTGAAAACAGCAAGGTTTCAAAATGTCCTTTCAAAGGATACAAACAGACGGAAAACATAAAAACGAGAACCGGTACTTCTTGTTTCTGAGCTGTACAGCAAGCTCTCTCCAGCACCGTCTCCACTCAGAGTGAACTCAAGGTCTGACACCCAAAGTTCAAAGCTTTAAACTTCGCATCTGTAACTGCCAGTGAAAATGACCAAAAAAAAAAAAAAAATTCTCCTTTAGCAACCTAACCATGCTCCAGCTCCCATGGATCAGGCCAGGCTAGGGCACAGGCAGCAGTCGGTTCCACAATTAATGCTTGTCTGAAAACTGTGAATTCATCCTTATTGCTGTGTCAGGGAACACAATGCACGTTTGCAGTGTGCTCTGCCTAGTGCCAACAAGGGCTACTGGTCACAGCTGTGTCTACTTAATATCCTTCGGCTAATGATTAGTTACAGTAAGAGAATCAGAGTTGAACAGACAGTAGGGCATTGAAGGCTGAGGCTGACATACAGACATTTAAATAAAAATATTTTTAGCAGAAACTTCTTTTAAAATTATCTCCATTTGTTCCAATAACCATCAGGTCATAAACCATTTTTAGGGAGGGGGGATAAGGAAAGGTGGGTTAATCGGTGCAGAATCACAGTCAGGTAAGAGGCATGCATTCTAGTGCTCCATTGCACAGTAGGGTGACTACAGTTAACAATAATTGACTGGAAAGTTGGGCACAGTGGCACACATATATAATTCCAGCAACCTGAGAGGCTGGGGCAGGAGGATTGCAGGTTTGAGGCCAGCCTAGACAACTGAGTGAGACCTTGTCTCAAAATAAAATTTAAAAAGGGCTGGGGATGTAGCTCAGGGGTACAGCACTTGCCCAGCTTGTGCCAACCGCTGGCTCTGACAATGGATATTTCAAAATAGAAAGGATTTTGACTGTTCTCATCACAAAGAAATAAAAATTTTTTGAAGTGATATATGAGTCCATATATTTGATCATTGCATTTTGTATACGTGAATTCAAAAATCACACTGTATCCCAGAAATATGTACAATTATGTGCCAATTAAAATGCTCCATAATAAGAGAAAAACTGTTTCTGCTTCTATAGGCATCCAATAATAGACGCCAAGATTAAACAAAGTACTAAGATTTTTTTTTTCCTTTTCATAATGAAGGTGAACATTTACAAGGCCACCTGCCCAGCACACTTCGACCTTTTATAGAAATAGACCTTCCCACCTCTACACACACCCAATCCAGGTTCTCCTGGGACCTGCCCCACCAGCCACAGCTGTGGGTCCAGGGAAGAACGCCTTAGTCAGGAGGCACCCTCCTAGGGCCCTCCTCCTGGCTGGGCACCTGCCTTAAGCCAGACTAAACAAGAATTTTTCCCTTATTTGTTCTTTTTTTAGAGCGAGGGATACAAATGAGGTGGAAGAAACTGCACACAAAGCGTCCCGTCTGATGAGGTACGATATCTACGTATATGCCCGAGAAGCCAGCACGGCAATTAAACCGTGAGCCCCCCGACATCTTCTCACCCCCCCTTAAATCTTAGCCCTCCTTCCTTCTGCCCCTGACAACCCCCAAGCTACTACTGATCTTGATCAGATTTGTTTGCACCTTCTGGAATTTTATATAAATAGGATCATGCAGCACGTAGTATTTTGTAACCTGGTTTTCCCACTTAACTGAACTATCAGTGTGTTTTCAATAAGCACCCATCAGACACACTGTCAGGAGACACTGCACAGGGCTCCACACAGGGATTACAAATAAATCATGAAGCACGGGCTCTGAGATGAGCAAATCACAGGCCCAGAGATCAACAAAAAATACCCCACCCACAGGAGAAAGGAATTCCAAAAAGGGCCAGCAACGCCCCAGAAGGAGGAAGTGATTCAGTAGTTGTCTTTTATTGCTTCTATAAATTTAAAAAGAATTTTTCATTTTTCCAGGAGGGTACATATTTTGCACCATCCCCAGAGAAAAGCAATCATGACAAACAGAATTAGTCATCTGAAAAATTAATAATGCACATGACATTTATACTACTCCCACCGCAAGTTAAAATTACACCTTATTACCCTGCAAGTAACACCTGTAATTCTCACTACTCCCCTGAAACCCATCAAGCTAAAGTTCCAAAAATAAAACCACATACTGGGCTGGGGTGGTGACTCAGTGGTAGAGCACTTCCCTAGCATGTGTGAGGCACTGGGCTCGATTCTCAGCATATAAATAAATATATAAATAAGTGAGTAAAGTACAGGTCCATCGACATCTAAAAAAAATATTAAAAAAAATAAAACCATATACAACTGCACTTGAAGATTAAATATAATAATGGGGGGCTGGGATTGTGGCTCAGTGGTGCAGCGCTCGCCTAGCACAGGCGGGACCCGAGTTCGATCCTCAGCACCACATAAAAAAATAAAGGCATTGTGTTGTGTCCATCTACACCTAAAAAATAAATATTTTAAAAAATATATAATAAAAATAAATATAACAATGGCTTAATGACAACCTAATCTTACATCATTAATAAAAAACAAACTTAACTGTTCAAAAGAAAGGAACCTTTATTTAGCTTCAACAGAAAATGTTCTTAGAGAAAGAAAACTGAGCCCCATCTGAAGAGCAGGCTCGTGGCAACCTTTGGAGAATGTCTCGCTGGAGGGCGCAGGAAGCAGGAAAGGGACAAATGCCAGCGCCTCCCCATGCCACCACTGGGGACTTCTTGGTCATCGCTTCAATGACCACCACTGGAGTTCCATGAGTAAATACTGCTGGCCCCACCTGCAGATGAGGGAGATGAGGCTGAGAGGAAAAGCCACAGGGCCCAAGTCACACACCGACTGACCCTGACAACACGCACAACCCCCAGCACCCCTGGTGCTTCACGGGCGTCAGCCCCTTCTCCCCAGGCCCTTCCTGTTCCTCCCACTCAACAAGTACTTTTCCTGGGTCAAGAGTGATTGGCACGACCCAGGAACCGCCCTCTCTTCCAGGGGATCTCTGACCCAGCAGGCCGAGCAGCGGCTCCCCAAAGTCCTCCACCCTCCTCCCTAACACCTGGGACTTCCTTACTGTGACAGCAGAGGAACTGAGGCTGTGGGTCAGCTGCCTTTGGCCCGAACACAGCGCCCTGAATACCAGGTGGGCCAGCTGCCATCACAAAGGTCCTTAAGTGCAAAAAAGGCAGAGGACTCGCCAGGCACCTGTAATCCCAGCGGCTCGGGAGGCTGAGACAGGAGAACTGTGAGTTCAAAGCCAGCCTCAGCAAGGGCGAGGCGCTGAGCAACTCGGGGAGACCCTGACTCTAAATCTAATACAAGGTAGGACTGGGATGTGGCTCTGGTTGAGTGTCCCTGAGTCTGATCCTTGGTACCGGAAAAAAGAAAAGGCAGAGGACTCACGGGGGAGAGGAGACTGAGGAAGACTCCAGCCCCTGCTGGCTTTGACAATGAGAGGGGCTGCGGAGAACACTGGAGCCTCTGGAAGCTGAAAAGGGCAAGGAAGCCTTCTCCCAGAAGGGAAGGTCGCCCTGCCAGGACCTTGACTTCAGCCAGGGAGACCCGCCCGGAATTTAAGGCCAATACATTTTTGTTGATTTAAGTCACTCAATTTGTGGTAACTTGTTACCAGAGCAACATGAATCTAACACAGATGTCGTCTGCCTGCTTCACTCTCAGCACACCGCGGAGCTTCCCAGGCCCGGGGAGGTCCGCGTAAAACAGACTGAATGCAGAATCAACCCAGAGCCCAGATCCCTCCGGTTAATCCAAACACCAAAGCAATGTGCAAGACCATGACGTTCACCCACAGTTGTTGGAAAGCAGTCATGTTTCATAAAAAGTAAACCATTTATGTTTAAGAGGTCACAGACTTAACATTATTCTTTTAAATAAATTAATATGTCCACACTGTTTAAATTTCTGCTTTAATTTCTAAATACAGTCATCAATATAATCTATATGAACAAAACCTCTGGGATCTTTAAGACTTACTAGTGTATAAAAAAAATACTGAGGGCAAAAGGGTGAAAACTGCCACCTTAGGTGTGCCTACCTTGCTGTTTTTCAGTAAGTAACCAGAACACAGATGGTAGTCAAAAATATTTGTTAAACTGGGCATGGTGACACACACCTATAACCCCAGCAGCTTAGGAGGCTGAGGCAGGAGGATCACAAGTTCAAGGCCAGCCTCAGAAACTTAGAGAAGCCCTAGCAACTTAGCAAGACTTTGTCCCAAAATAAACAATAAAAAGCACCACTGGGTTCAATCCCCAGTATCAAGGGGAGGAAAAAAAAAACCCTAGGAAACTAAAAAAGATGTTTCTCAAAGTTAAGAATCAACTCATTAAACTAGAAAATTTTTCTATAAAACCCAGCCTGATCCATCAGCTACCCCCTCCCCTTCCCGACCTGACCTCTGCAACACCTGGCTGTAAACACACGGAGCACGGCGGGCTTCTTCCAGGCGCTGGCCAACGCCTGACACACTGGAGGAAGCCCTGCTGCTCCCTCCCAGCCAAATGCATGTTTTTTGACATGTGGGAAATCATAAAGCTTTTTATGTTTTCTTCTCTGTTTTTCTTTCTCTCAAAGATACCTTCTCAATTCAGGAAGCGGAGTCAGGATTTAGCTGACCACAACCTTGACAGGAACCCACCCAGGGCTGACCTCCGGGGCTTTCTAACAGGAGGGGGATGCTCATGCTCACTGGGGCAGAGGCGATGCCTCCCTCCACTCTGAACCAGTCAGACCACCGACTCCCTGCGGTCAGGACCAAAGGGCTGGCTTTCCAGGGGACAGGGACAATCTAGACTGAATGCCAAGCTGAAGTGCCACAGTCATGAAGTCAAAGGGTCACACTGATGACGCGTGGCTGGCATCTTCACATTTAACCAACCGTGACATACACAAAAGGGGACTCAGAACCACTCAACTCGGCCACACGAACGAAGCTGGCAGCCTCGTGATCACATGACAAACTCGCAGGTCCCAGATGGCCACTAACCAGGGCTGTGGGCAAAGGAGTTTCTTCTTTGAGCAGGAGACTATACTCCGTGACCCAGGACCCTCGCCAGGTGCCAGGTTCTCTCCTATCGCAGCCATTTCTTTCCTATCTGAAAACGTGACGATTAGCATGCGGTACGTCCCTCCCTGAAGTCCTTTTGAAGCTACTTTTCCTTATGGCTACAGGATCGCCAAGGCCCTCTGCCTAAATAAAGGACCACTCTTGGAGAACACATCAAGCTATTTGTAAGACAGAAAGAAAGGTACAAAGGCAATAAGAACACCGGTCCCCACCATCCAGCTACAAAACAAACCCCTCGGGGAAGCACTGGAGAAGGCTCCCTTTCCTCCAGGGCTCACGTGCCTGCCTTGCATCATCCAAAAGTGCTTCTCTGGCGCTGGCCTGTCATCCCAGCAACTCGGGAGGCTGAGGCAGGAGGACTGCAAGTTCAAAACCAGCCTTAGCAAGTCAGTGAGGCCCTAAGCAAGACCCTGTTTCAGAACAAAAAATAAAAATGGACTAGGGATATAGCTTTGTGGTGGAGTATCCCTGGGTTCAATTCCTAGTACCCCACCCCCACTACCCAAAAAAACGTGCTGAGAAGAAAAATGATCATATTTTACTATATTTTTTTAAGTGCATGCTACAGTTAAGATAGTTAAGAGAGCCAGTGGCCGATGGATGGGTTTTTTTTTAGGGAATGTTTCTCGTTTCTTGAGTTGGCCTTCAATTTTGAGTAGCTCAATAGTGAATAACCAGTCTCCTGCCTCAACCTCCCAACAACCCTCACTTCGGTGTCTCCCACTCTCCTGCTTTACTTTATAGAGCTTCACAATGCACATACATATCCCAACGAGGAATTTACAGTATTTTTATGTGTTTCCAAACCTTTTATAACTGGTATAAGTCTGCCACTTGCATTTTTTTTTTTTTAACTTGACATTATTTCTGTGAGACTCAGCGTAGTTCTGCCATTGGCTGCTGGGGTGTGTGTATGCAGATCTAGTTCAGAAATTAGCATTCGTTTTCTAAAAGGGGCCAGTTAGTAAACATTTTAGGCTCTGCGGGTCAGACAATCTCTGCTGCACTACTCAACTCTGATGTCTGCACAAAGACCTTGCCAGAGAGAGAGAGAGAGAGAGGGGGGTAGCTATAGTTCCCAAAAAAAGCTGCATATGCAAACAGAGACAGCAGGCTAGAATTGGCCCATGAACTGTAGTTTGCAAAGCTTCCTGCTTCCTGTAGTTAACAGTATTTCCTTTTTCTAATACCATTTCAATAGTTGTTGGATACTGCTCACTTACTGGTTCCCTTTGATTGGCATTTCCCATTCTATTAATCCCAACCTTTCTACCTCTTTGTTCTAGGATGTATTTCTTATAAGCAGCATCCAGCTGGACTTGGTTTCCTGTATCTGCTCTGTCAGTGCATCTTCATCTAAGCTTACCATGATTACTGAGATCTTCAATTATTTCACTGGGATATTTTGTGCTATTTCTTGCTTCTGTTGTTCCTTTTATCTGCCCTGTTTTGGCCTGATTTCTCTGTGTTGTCAACATTTGTTTAGATTTATTCCATATCTAACAATTTATTTCTTCTCCATTTTCTTCTGCATTTTAGATGCTGATTTGGGATAACCTCTACCCCCTGCCCCCAAACACATATATAGGTTGAGAATCCCTTATCTGAAATACTTGGGACCAGGACATTTTCAGATTTTAGAATGTAAACACATACATCATAATGAATGTCTTGGGGATGGGACCCAAGCCTAAACATGAAATCCACTTATGTTTCAGGTATACCTCACACACAGCAGTTGAAGATAATTTAATTCATTATTTGTAGTATGCAGGAGTTTTGACTGTGACCCACTGCGTGAAATCAGGTATGGAATTTTCTACTTGCAGCTTCGCGTTCAAGCTCAACAAGTTTCAGATTTTGGAGCATTTCAGATTTGGGATCTTCAGGTTAGAGATGTTCAACCTGAAGATGTTCAGAAGTTGCTTTATTGATTTCTTTTGGTAGCAAACTTTGGGTTTTATCTAAAAATTTCTTCGTTCTCAAATGATGATTTAGATGGGCACACGATTCTAAATTTGACATTTTTCTCTCAACACTTAGAAGTAATTTACTGTCTTGAAGTTTCCACTAGGGCAGTTCACAAGCCTGCTATCAGTGGTCTCCTACTCCTTTGCAGCAGTAATAATAACAGCCGTTGACACTTACATTGGGTTCGCTATATTCCAGGCACTATTTTAAGAACTCTACATATATTAACACATTAAAATCTAACAATCCTAGAAAATAGGTAATATTATTATCCCCATTTTACAAAGGAGAAAACTGAGGTCCATAGAAGTCACATAGCTTATAAGTTATAAAGTCAGAATTTGAACAGACATTCTTGCCCTAACCCTAACCCTAACCCTATTGTGCTTTTGGATCTTTCTGGCTGCTTCTAGGATATTCTCTTTGTTTTTTTAATATATTACTCCTTATTAACCATGTTTGAGATGTACTGTGTTTCCTAAAATCGGAGAATTCTTTCATTAGTTCTAGAAAAGTCTTAGCAATTATTCCTTTCCCAATTCTCTATCTTTTGCTGGAACTCCAATTACACATTACTCATCTCATTCTATTATTCAATAAACTGCTTTCCTAATATCCATCTCTTTGTTAAATGCTGGGCAACTTTCTCAGATTTATCATCTTTCAATTTGTCTAATCTTCCAGTTAAAATCATTCCACTGATTTTTTTTATTTCAAAAATTAAAAATTTTAGAGATTCTATTTGATTTTTCTTAAAATCTGCCTGATAATCTTAGTAGTTCTCATAATTCCTGCTTACATTTTCAATCTCACCTTTTATTTCTCCAACAGTTTTAAACATTATCAGATGCCACTATATATAATCTTTACCTGATAACCCAAATTTCTGAAGACTTACTCATACTAATTCTGCTGTTTGCTAATCCACCTGATTCTCACTTATGCTGGTTCATCTGTGCATTTTTAAATTTTGGATTGTGAGCTCATTTCTGGTCAATCTTGAGAATCCTGGGCACGTGAATTTCCATCATCCAGGGAGTTGGTGTTTGTTTCTACCAGGAGTCCCAGGTCACTATCACTCACTTCTAGTTAAATTCTCAGTTTGGGGTTACTAAACCAAATGTTTTAAGTCAGCTTTTTGTTGCTGTGACCAAAGTATCTGACAAGAACCACCTAGAGGAAGAAAACTTCAATTTTGGGCTCAACAGCTTCAGAGGTCTCAGCCCATGGCCAGTAGACTCCACTGCTCTGAGCCTGAAGTGGGCAGCAGTCATGGCGGAAGAGAGCAGTGGAGGAGAGCTGCTCTGCTCAAGGCAGTCAGGAAGCAGAGGGAGAAAAGGGAAAGGGAACACGCAGAAGATGCCCCCTTCCAGGATACACCCCACCTTCTCCAGCCACAGCCCACCTGCCCACAGTTACCATTCAGTTAGTCCATTCAAACTAGGATGAACTGATTCTTTTACAGATCTCAAATCCAATTATTTCATCTCGGAATATTCCTGCATTGACACGGGAACTTTCAGGGGGACACCCTCTTGTACAAACTATAACACCCTACCAGCACAATAAATTCAATCTCGAACCTATGGGAGACTTCCACAAACGCATCACACACAGGAAAAAAGTCAAGAGAGACAAAGGTCCCTATTGTCTCCCTGCAGGGAAGGAAACATTTTACTACAGCCACCAAATTTACAAGAGCATCTCAAACAGTATGTGTGAGTGAGCCCAAGGCCAGTCTTCCCTGCCAGCAGCAGACCCCGGGAAGCCCAGCACAACCCCCAGGCCAGCAGCTCGCTGGCCTGCTCACCATTCTGGCTTCAGCCCCCTCTTCACTGTTAATCCCTAGAATTTCTCTCCACTATCTCAAAGTTCAGTTAGACACTTAAAAAAAGGTCCTTTGGATTTTTTTCAGCATGTAAAAAGGTTTTTGGACTAGCTAGCTTACCATACTGCTAGAAGGCAAAGTTCTAAGGAGGACTTCTGATGGGAAGAGGATACATGTTTCCACATATTTTTAAGAGTTCAATAAAGGATTAGTTTCTAAATCCAGCTTATAAAAACACAGATTCCTGGGCCCTGCCCCAAACCTTATGAAGCAGATTGCCAGGGTCAGGGTCTTGGAATCTTCATTTTTAAACAAGCTTATCCCAATGTGTCACCAAGTTGGAGAACCATTCGATTTTTTAAAAATTCTTCTTTGCTTCAAAGGGTGACAACAAAAATATCATTGAATCTCCTTTTTACATTTTACCTCCCTTGGATTCCTCTTTCACTAGGGCATAAATCCTGGATAGTGTAGAGAAGAAAATGAATTCTATATCTCAACTAGTAATCCCCCTGCCATCTCCACAACAGTTTCAGAAAACCATGACCCTCGGCAGCCAGTCAGGTCAAGGATGGATTGATATTCTGCCTGAGCAGGCTTCTTGATATTAGGTGCAATTTTTAATCTCGAAGACTGTCTCCAGCCGAGTTCTTCCTGCACAAGCATGCCAGCACCTCTCAGTCCTTCATCCTTCCAGGGTAACAGAGGGACCACATGAGACGTGGGACATCAGGAGAAAGAAATGCTCCAGGTCCCCCTGAAATCATGTGCAAAACAGTGTGTGCATGGAAGTGTGATGTGTGATAGTGCAAATGTGTCTATTCTAGAGAGAGCACACACAGCTTCTCCAGATTCTCACAGGGTGCTGACTCCATTATCCTGTGGCACAGAAGCATATTTCAGCATCATTACCATACATTCTTGTCGATGCATTAAAACTTCCCAAGTATATTCTTTAGAACCTCAAAATAGAGTTAGTGCCCCCAAAAAGTGGCTCCATGATTAAACTGATCTATATTCTCCCTCTTGAAGAGTCACTATACTAAAGCTGGTGCTGAGAAGACCAACTATAATGGAATTTTAGTGTATAGCTTCTGCTTTCTTTAACTACATTTCTCAGAAGATGGTAGGATATAGTCTGTGAAAAAACTGGTTGAATTTTCAAATTATCCCAAGAGTACCTTTTTAACTCACTGCAGTTCTTGAGAAATTTATGCTTACTACCATTTTTTTATTATATTATATGACTATTACCCCTGCGTGTCATGCTTATTTTATATATGATGCCTTTTTGTCACTGTGTCCTCACTAGGTATACATTTTTTACTCAATATTAAACACTCTCAACCCAGAACTTTGAAACCCTTCAGCCCCCTTCAATACTTAAAAAAGCCAAAACTCCACACTAATTGTCAGACTTTTTCCCACATGCCATGGCCTCGGGCAATTAACCAAATAATCTAAAGCACCCAGTCTCTGAGGTTATTTCTATATATATATATAATCTCCAAATATAAAACCGGAGCAGCCCCTCTTGGAGAAGCAGGGATGCTTCATTCTGTACGTACCCAGCCAGGCTAGGTATCTAATGAGCACACACGGAAGGCCTGGGATTACACTACAAGAATACATATACGTGCCAGTGCAGTAGCACACATCTGTAATCCCAGCGACTCAGAAGGCTGAAGCAGGAGGATTGCAAATTCAAGGCCAGCCTCAGCAACCTAGTGAGACCTTGTCTCAAATTAAAAACTAAAAAGGGCTGGTGATGTGGCTTAGTGGTGGAGGGCCCATGGGTTCAATCCCCAGTGGTGGTGGTGCTGCTGGTGGTAGTGATAGTGATAGTGAAGAGGAGGAGGAGGAGACAGAGGAAGAGGAGGAGGAAGACGACGACCATCACCACACATAGAGCATAAGAGAACACATATTCAGCCCTTTAAATTTTAGGCACCCAGCAATTTCTTAGAACTTGCACTTTAGAACAGGGTTCTTCAACCTTGGCACTGTTGACATTTGGAGCCAAATGACATTTGAAGATAAATTGACATTTGGAGATCAGTCTGTTATGGAACTTTCTCCTACACACAGTGGATATTCAGCAGCTTCTCTGGTCTCGACCCACCAGAGGCTGGCAGCACACACAGCCCTCCCTCAGTTGTGACAAATTAAAAGTTCCCCAGGTCTCCAGACATCATCAAATATCCTCTGGGGGGGCTCAGTGGTAGAGCACTCATCTGGCATGTGTCAGGCACTAGGTTCGATCCTCAGCGCCACATAAAATAATAAATAAATAAAGGTATTAGTTCCATCTACAATTAAAAAAATATTTTTAAAAAAATCCTCTGGGGTGAGGAGGGTCACAAAACTATCCCGTGTGCCACTGAAAACCACTGTCCTAGTGAAGCATCTACCACTTTTGCTAGAGGCTAAAAAGCAATTTCCTCTCCTAAAATACAAAGAACCTTTCTTTTGGGCTGAGTCTGAAATATGCATAAACATCTTTAACTACATAAACATGATACTCAGGAAAGTCTCAAGGTAAAATCAACAGGAGCCAGGCATGGTGGCACACGCCTGTAATTCCAGCTACTTGGGAGGCTGAGGCAGGAGAAACTCAAGTTCAAGGCCAGCCTGGGCAGCTCAGTGAGACCTTGTCTCAAAATAAAAAGGCCTGGGAATGCGGCTCAGTGGTAGAGTGTCACTGGGTTCAATCTCTAGTACCAAAAAAGAAAAAAAGAAAAAGAAAAAGAAAAAAATTAGAAGAAATTCCAATTGAGGGACTTTTTTACAGTGTGTGACCAATTCTCCTTAAAACTGTAAAGGTCCTTAACTAGTCCAAAGAGCCTAAGGAGACATGATAACTAAATGAAGTCCTGGATGGGATCCTAGAACAGAAAAAGGACACTCAAGTAAATATAGAAAATCTGAATCAACTATGGGTAATGTATCGATATTGGCAGTGATCACAAACACACACACCACAGTAAAGTGAGAGATAGACAACAGGGGAAGTGAGCGCAGGGTTTACAGGAGCCAGACATTTTATCTGTAAATCCAGAACAATCTAAAAAAATAAAGTTATTTTAAAATAATTTTTTAAATGGGTAAACAGGAGAATGGGAGAGAAGGGGTTAAAACAAAAAGAAAAAAGTGGTCCTCGGCTGCCTGGCTTCCTTCTGGAAACCCTCCAAAGGAAGACACCTGAACGGGCTATGGCTTAGGGGAAGAGATGGGATGGCCAGAAAGAGAGTCAGAAAATAAATTTCTATTGTCAGAATAAGGAAGAAAATAAAACTGTTTTGTCTTCTTGTAACTTGGGGGGAAAAAGAATTGCTATGTTTCTATATGAATTTTGATATGAATATCAGTATGCCTTCTGACCTCTTCTTCCTTGAAGACACAACTCAAGGGTCAGCTTCAGGAAGAGGGAAGCATTCCCTGCATCTCGAAGGACACAGGCCCTACCTAGGCCCCTGGCTGTCACTCATCTGTTGACAGACTCACCATCCTTCCAACACTGGTCTACCACTGGGCCCAGGCAGGTACTCAGCCACTGGGGCCCTCTGACTCGCCCATCTGTGAATCAACAACCTTTAAACCCACTGCTGGCTGCTAAATAAATGGTAAGTGAATGGACTCAAGCCGGGGGCACGTAGGTTCACGCAGACTTCAGCTGGAGGAGGCTAGGAATGGTACAGCCCCAGACAGCACAAAGAAGGAAAACAAGTTCATGGCCCTGTGTGCAGGTGCTGGGGGCCTGAAGAGAGGATGAGGTACATCATAACATACCTGCAACACTTGAAGAAACTTAGTGTTCATCCAGTGGCCTTGTTTTACAGAGAAACCAAAGCCAAGAGAGGTTAAGTCACTGGTTCAAGGTCACAGAGCCAAAGGAGACTAGAACCCAGAGCTAAATTACCCACCTCCATCTGTATCTATGACCAATAGATATTTAATAATAATAGCTACTCTCCACTGAGCACCTGATGGGAGCCAAGCCCAAGCTAAACCCCGCCCCCTTCAACCTCCCTACTGCAGCTGAGGAAACTACTGTTAGGGAAGAGAGTACTCAGGCTGTCACCCTCCAACACGCCCGTGGATCATCACACCAGAGCCCAAACTCTGGTCCCATGCTCATCTTTATCATCCAATGCTTCAGCTGCAGGCACTACTCTGAACACCCTTCTCAGATGGACTAATTTATTCCTCACCAGAACCCTAGCACAGATGAAGAAACCGCAGCTTCATGACCTCTTCAGTTCTCACAGGCAGCAAGCAGCTAACTTTGTTCTTATAAAAACTAAAGATGCAATTATTATTCAACCCAGCAATTGTACTCTTGGGCACTAAGAAAAATGAAAAATGTATGTTCACACAAAAAACCCTACATGATATTTACAGTTTATATTTACAATTATATTTAAATTTACAATTGCTTTATTTATACTGCCACAGACTGGGGGCAAGTCAGGTGTCCTTTGGACAAGCAAACTATGGTTAAACAGTTTATTGTGCTTAAACAAATGGTTAACCTGTGGTACACACATAGCATGAACTACTATTCAGCATTAACAAGGAGTGTGTCATTGCCACAGTTCACACAACCGCCTGGATAAAACTGAGGGGACTGCCAGGCGCAGCGGAGCACGCCTTTAATCCCTGCAGCTGGGAGGCTAAGGCAGGAGGACGGCGAGTTCAAAGCCAGCCTCAGCAAAAGCAAGGCGCTAAGCAACTCAGCAAGACCCTGTCTCTAAATAAAATACAAAATAGGGCTGGGGATGTGACTCAGTGGTTAAGGGCCCCTGTATTCAATCCTTGGTACAAAAAAAAAAAATTGTGGGGATTATATTGGGGGGGGGGGGGGCAATCAGTCCCAAAAGATTACATACTCTATGATTCCATCTAAGTGAACTTTTTCAAGTGACAAAAACAGAAATGGAGAACAGTAAATACTCCAGGGGCTGGGGACAAGGCAGCATCAGGAGGGAAGACAATATAAAGGATTCTTATGAACTGTTCTGTACCTTGATTGTGATGGTGGAGACAAAAACCTACCTGTGACAAACTATTACTCACACATACTAGTAAGAATAACCTGTGGGCTATCAGTATATACTCCCTATGATGCTGTACTGTCCTTTTATAGAATGTTACCATTGGAAGAAACCAGGTGAAGGGTATGCCAGATCTCTTTGTATTAACTCTTAAAACTACATGATATTTCCATAAAAACTCCAATTAAAAAAAAATCTTGCCTATCTCAAAGCTGGGCTGGATGATATTCTATATTTCTTTCATCTCTAAGAGCTGTAATTCCCAATGTCCCCAAAGTGAGTCCTCTTTCCATCACACCATACTACAGCTTCAAAGCCAAAGCAAAATTTGGCAAAAGGAAACTTTAAAAATCTTCATTAACTACTTCAAATTCACTCTGAAAATTATTCCAAATGGGTTTTATTTCCCTAAACTGACTTCTGGCCAAAAGATGGAAAATATGATCCCATAAAATGTTCTTTTGTGCCACCTCCACTGCCGCCTCTCAAATAATCAATATTTAATATCAATTCGGAATCTTCCCTGAAAGCAACAACGCAGGTGGATTATCACTGGTCCTTTAAACCAGTTTCCAAGTGGCCAGTGGCTACTGGAAATCAGCGCAGCATAGGAGACAGGACAGTGGTTTAGGGACTGAGACAGACCCTTGGTCAAAGCATCACCTTGGCCTGGCGTCTTAAACGTGAGATTCGCCTTTCCCATCTATAGATGGGATGTGGGCACCTCAATCAACCTCCACGCCTGGCACTCTGGTCCCCTTTTCCTGCGCTCCCGGTTTCCCTTAGTAACAACTCAAGCTCACTCCACGTTCACCTGGCCACAAACCGCTCATTCACTCCCCTTCCTCAATGAGGTTAGTAGATAACCCGACCCGACCCTCCCAGGTCAGACAGAACATCCGTCCCCCCCACACCCCACCCCACCCCACCCCACCCCCGCCCCCGCAGGAGGAAAGCGATCAGCCTCCAGATCCTGCCACCTGCCCGCAGCCCGGCTCCAGGGCCGCCCGGCGCCGGCCAGGCTCGGGCTGCTGCCACTGTCACTTCTGGTCAATAACAATACCCAGCGGTGTGGGGAGGGGTGGCTGTCCCCCACCGGATGGCTTGGACTCCACCGGGCAGCCCAAAGGGCTACCGATGCAGATTCCTAGCTAAAAATCCCAGGAAAAACACAAAACATCTTTCCCGACAGAAAGGGAAGAGTTGCGAAGTTTCTGGAGTGGCATTTTTCCACGTTCCCCGAAGCCGCTGGGCAGAGACGATGCTGCCCGCAGCCGGGGGTACGGTGGGGGTACGAGGATCACGATGCCCAGGAGGTCAGCGGCGGGAGCCGCCGCGTGCGAGCTGGCCCGCTTCCCAGCGGCGGGCGGGGAGGTACCCCGAGCTGCAGGGCAGCGGGGCGCCGCCGCACTCACCGTCCGTGCTCCTCTTCGCCTCCTGGTAGCGCTCCCACAGGTAGCGCTTCATGTCCGGGGCGGTCCCGGGCGCGGTGCACAAGGGCCGAGCGGGGCCCGAGCGCTGCCGCCTCCCGGCCGCAGTCCCGCCGCCACCGCCCCACAGGGCCGCCACGGCCGCCGCCCTCACCCCGGCACCGCGGGTCACCGCCGCCGCCGCCGCAGTGGTCATGCCTGCGGCTGCCGCGCTGCAAGTGGCGCGGCGGGACCAGCCTGGGTCGGCGCTCGGCCCTGGGGCGGGCCGCTCCCTACGTGGAAGCACGTGGCGGCGCGGCCCCGCCCTCCGGCGGCCGCGGGCAGGGGACCTGGGCGGGGCGGAGTCAGGGGCGGGGCGCGACCGCAGCTGCCCCGGCTCTGCGCCCAGCCTGCCACGGTCACTTCCTGACCCTGCGGCGTGTGGAGGTGGCCGAGCAGTGGTGTGGAGGCCACATGAAAGGTGATGACTCGTCGCCGACCCCGGGCCACGAGATAGGACCCCAGTGCTGCCCGCCGCGCTCCACTGCACCTCCTTCCTGCCTTCTGTGGAGGTCCCCCAAATCTAGCTATACGGATAGTGTAACCCCCACCCCCATCTGCTCTGTCCCTGTCCTGAAGGTGACCTTCCTCCGCCTTCTTGGCCTCTTAAGTCTAGACCTCCCTTAGATCGTGGAGGCCACCGAGGACAAGCCCTCATTCCCAGCTTGGATCCATCCAGGCCCGCCCTTTAAGGGGTGGCTGGCCAGAGGCCCCACACATTCCAGCCCCTTAAATCCCTACGTTTGAAGGGCACCCCATTGCCCTGAGGATGCTTGGCCTGGAAGGCCGGTGCCTCACCCTAGATTTGCACTTAGAGAGAGGTCCTCTGGACACATCATCCAGCTCCAGCCCACGCTTACATCCTAATGCCTGCTCTGCTTCTGGGCTTAGCTGCACCTGTTCAGTGCCTTGTGGTTCCACAGAAGCCCAATAAACCGTAACCTCCCCACCAGGTGCGTTTCTACGTGGACTGACTCAAGACTCTACTCCTGCAGAACAGACCTGTGTCGCCCTGGACTTCCCTGGATTTCCCAAGCTACCCATGTGACCACTAAGCCAGACGCTAGGGGCTGGGGGAAGGGGAGAAAACTCAAGGCTGGCACTCTGCCAGGGAGACAGTACTACCATATGTGAAATAGGTGGGGCACAGTTTAAGAAAAACCAAGGCCTTAGTGTATGCTCACAAGAGGGCTGATGGAATGGGGAGATGTTTCATGGAAAAAGGTAAAACCTCTACGGAGTTAGTGACAATAATAACTGCCATTAACCGAAGATGTTCTCTGCCTTCTCGCATGCATTCCCCTCAGTAATCTTGAGGAATACGTGCCATAATTTCATTTTACAAATAATCAAACAGAAGCTAAAAGAGGTAAAATAAATTGCCTAAAGTCACAAAGCTAAGCCCCCTTCCAGATGCTTCCTAACTCTGTAGGTAGGTTTTATTTGTTTGATAGGAGTGAAGGGGCCAGTTACTGGTTAATGTTTTACAAATCACTGATAAAATGGAGGAGAATAAAATGCTCAAAATAAATATAACAAATCCATGGGCTCAGTACTTTAAACTCTGTTTTTAATGTGTAAACTGGAATACTTTTCTTATGTTGGATAAAAAGGTATGATGATAGCAATTACAAATTTTGTTTAGATGAAAAATCCATAAATTCAAAATGAGTAAACTATAGCAATGTGAAAATAACACAATTAGAACTTTAATAACATTGCTTCTATATTTTTAGATATGGGACCCTGTGAGATCAGTATGAGATCAATACCATAGAAATATAAATCACTTAAAAACTGTTCTTTCAGTTAAAATTAGTTAAAATATTTCGAGGGGTTTAAAAAAAATCAAATCTCTAGGCCTTGATTATTATTACTCCTAAGTGTCTTAGAAGAAAATATACAATTAAAAGTACTTAAGTGGGAAAAGATTACACAAAGAACCCACAATGTTTTGTTTTGGTTTGTTTTTATTCCTTATTAGTTGAGTTCTTCAACGATTTTGTTTCTGCTTGAGATTTTCTCTTCAAAATACTCTTTGGAGGAGTCCAGTTGTAATCTGGATTATGAAAAAGCCACTTTTCTGATATGAGCTCAGACATGGAGTGCCAGGAATCATTTGTGGTAAATGGCCCTAGTAGGGGAGAATGGTAAATTGTAGTGACATGGCCTTCACCACTCGTACCTTCATCAGACAAAATCCTCTGCTTTGAAAGGTTTACTAAGCCACTCTTTTTACCCAAAGGTAAAACCTCTACGGTATAATCTTTCTTTTTCTTTGATGCTTCCTTTCTTGGGCTATTCCATATTTCAACATTATTCTGTGCCTTCTCTTGGGTCTTTTTCCCAGCAGAAATACAAATAATGGGACTGGAGATCTTTTTCCTTATAGCATACTTTGATTTATCCGAAATCTGATGTGGTGCTAACTGCAAGCTCTTAGCCCTTGTTAACTTAGCTGCATTGATGCACATCGCGGAGCTTACTGTGTCAGAACTCTGAGCACTGTGGTAGTCTAATTTAAGCAGGTGTTCCCATAATAAGGAGCCATTCTTAGAATCCTCAGGAGATTGCTGTAACATGCCTAGAGGCCAAAATCTCCTACTGCGGGTCCGCTCAATTTCCTTCAGAAGGCTGCAAAAGATCAAAAGTTGTCAAGAGGTCACTACACAATGTTAATAATCAGAAGTATATTTATTTATGAAATGTGAAACAAACTCACTGCATGATTCCATGGATGGATGAATGAGAAGGTCCCAGATAGGTCTCCCTTAAATCAAGTGACCTGTACAAATAGCCTATTGCCTCAATCATGACATGATGACAAGAGTCACTTGTCAATAAATAACCTGCTGGATATATAAAAATAAGAATATTAGAATTTTTTAAATTTTTAAAAAGATTTCAAAAAATTTATCTTAGGTAGAATTGGAATGTTACCTGTGGTAATATTCTGCCAAAACCATTTAACCTGGTAATAATCATAAAGATGTAATAAGAAGCTGGTGATATGGCTCAATGATAGAGCACTTGCCTAAAAATGCACAAGGCCGTGGGTTTCTTCCTCCCCAGCAAATATATATAATTCTGTATCAAAAAGTAAGCAGCTATGGGGGCTGGGCTGTAGCTCAGTGGTAAAGCACTTGCCTAGCATGTTGTGAGGCACTGGGTTTGATCCTCGGCACCCCATAAAAATAAATAAAGATACTGTGTGTTCATCTACAACTAAATATTTTTTTAAAAAAAGTAAACAGCTATAAAGGACAGTACTAGGATACATGGGAAATATGGATATGGACTATAGAGTAGATAAAAGCCTTATGTAGTAGTCAAATTTCCTGGATTTGATTATTATATCATGGCTATGTAGGGGAATGTCTTTGTACCCAGAAGACACATGCTAAAGTATGTAGAGATAAAAGTGTTATGCTTGAAACTTTCAGATGTGTGGGGGAACTGTGTGTATGTATGTGTATGTGTGTGTGTGTGTGTGTATTTTAAAAATGCAAATGTAGCAAAATGTTAACAAATTGGTGAAGCCGGGCACAGTGGTGCACGCCTGTAATCCCAGCAGCTTCAGAGGCTGAGGCTGAGACAGGAGAATCTCGAGGTCAAAGCCAGCCTCAGCAAAAGTGAGGTGCTAAGCAACTCAGTGAGACTCTGTCTCTAAATAAAATACAAAAAGGGCTGGGGATGTGGCTCAGTGGTCAAGTGCCCCTGAGTTCAATCCCTGGTACAAAAAAAAAAAATGGTGAATATAGGTGAAGGTTATACAGTGGAGTTTTTGTTTGTTTAATCAGTCTTAAAACCTCTCAACAGGTTTAAATTAAAAAAAAAAATCCCCTGAAATTTGAGTTGTGGATGGGAATACGAGAGATGGTCTCTCTCTTGAAAATCTGTTCTCAGAGTCCTCTAGCAGCTCCCCTGTCAACCCCTGGAGCATGGTAGACAAGATTTTCCATGCCCTGGGCTTCCCTATTTCTCCAATGTCACCTGCAAACCTCCCCATTCCAGAGTTTCATATAACCTGATTCATTTTTCCTTGCCTTTGTTCATGCTGATCCTTCTTGGTTAAAACACTCTTCTTGACCTTCATCAGGCACTAGTCAGGACTCACAGTCAAGTCACTATCTAGAAGGTCTTCCTGATTGCCCCTCATGTGCTTCCCCACGCCCTCGCCAGTGTCTGTCACAGTGCAGAGCCCATTGGATCGCAGCCATCTTTATGTGCCTGTCTCCCCAATGAGTTGCCAAACTTCAACAGCCCACAGATGGTGGTAAAGGCTTGGGATTTGGACTCAGAGGACTGGATCCCACGCCCTAAGTCTCCTACTTAGTAGTTTTGAGGTTTGAGGATATCACCTGGTCATTGTGAGCCTCAGCAATATAATTTCAAATTCACAATTATCTGATCAAATATACTGGGGTAAGTCATATGGTCTATATCTGCTATTTCCTCAACTTCAAATTAAGTCAGTGTGATCTCTAGAGTCCCTTTCCAGTGTTAAAAGTTATCTAAGCTGCCGCAGTCCGGCTGCAGCAAAATAACAGGGGGGGGGGGGCGGTGATGAGCAACTTGTGTACATTGATACAGCAGGAGTGGGAGCCGTTTATTGTAGGACAGGAGGGGTATATATACATTATACACAGCTTATCTTAATTAACATAAACTAGATACAGCAGTCAACCAATAAGAAATCTCCACACTTAATGGCTCGCTGGAGTTACTTCACAAACCACTCCCTCTGGCAAAATGCCAGGCGCCATCCTGACTTGTTTACAGACCCTAACACTAAGCTTTTGAGGGCTATTTAACATTTTTCTGCTATAAATAGCATTTACAAACTTACAACACATTGAAAAGGATTGAGCCTACATAACAAGTAAAAGGAAGCTCTGTTGACCGAGTAAACTGGCTTGCTTAATCAACTAGGGCCCTCTACTTCCTCTTTTAAAACATACTCTCCCTCACCCTGAGCTGCTAGGCTTTTTGCTACTTGTACACCTGATCCCAACAGCTGGGTTCTAGATGACCCAGAGTCAGCTGGGCTCATTAGTCTAATTAGGCAATTAAATTAAGTAAAATACTAATAAGATATGCATGTGAAGTGAAAGGAGTTTTTTTTTTTCTGAAAAATCAGACTAAATACTTTGGAAAGACTCAATGCCATGAGCTGCTAAAACAATTTTCTTTAAATATGAGTGGGCAAGACAACCATAAAAGATTGAGGGGAAATAAAGCAGCATTGTGGAAGGATCCTGCGCATAGATGCTTCACAATTGTTCTCACTCTGCAGCAACCAGAACTAGAAATTGTGAGTAATGTGTTTTGAAAAAGATGATGTCTAATTCCAGAGGGCCCACAAAAGAGAATTGATTTGACATTTAAAGGCATCAGGGGGCATTTATATCTAAGTTAAAATTAAATTGTAAGTTTTGTATTTATTACTTACCTACTTTGTGATTGAGGGACCAACTGCTATAGAAAAGAGGGTTCTGGCTGAGTTGAGCGTTTTTAAATTAAATGATGAAAAGGGACTGACTCACCCCATTGAGAGTCACCCACCGGTGCCTTTGTTTAATTTCCTCCTTCTAAACTTGACTGAGATGGTTGGCATTTCTTTTTTAAAAGAATTCCAAGGACAGGGAAGTAACATAATGTTCATCTACCATGCTGCATCCAAAATAAACAATTCAGTTCAGAACACTCTGTGTGACAGAACAGAATATGAAAAGCCACATTTCTGTCCCTTTCTCCCCCTAAAATCGTTTCTCAATAGGCAGATTTAAAACACTTATCAAAGAAGGGAAGCAGTAAGATTGCTCTGTGCCAGGGATAGCATGGAACATAAATCACAAAAGCCCTCTTTTCAAGTCAGGATTCCTACCAAAATCACTAGGATTAACAGTTTTATTATGTCAAGGTTTCTACTGGGAACGGGATCAAAGTTGTGAGGGGATGAGCTATGAAGGACATGCTAAACAAAAAGAGAGCTCATTAAAAAAATAAAACAAAAATGTTCAACCCATGTTCTATTTCAGTGCCAATAAAATTTCAGAAGACAGAGAGAGAGAGAGAGAGAGAGAGAGAGAGAGAGAGTTCATTTAAGAATAAATGCCAAAATTCAGGAGGCTGAGGCAGGAGGATGATGAGTTCAAAGCCAATCTCAGCAAAAAGCAAGGTGCTAAAAGCAACTCAGTGACACCCTGTCTATAAATAAAATACAAAATAGGGCTGGGGATGTGGTTCAGTGGTTGAGTGCTCTTGAGTTCAATCCCCAGTACCAAAAGAAAAAAAAAAAAAGAATAAGTGCCAAAATTTAGAATTTGTTACTCTCTTACAAACCCTCCATTTTAATACATGCTTATTATAATCTCCTGCACAAAAATCTTGTTACAATTTAAAATCTTAACTCTCAAAAATTCCTTGAAGCCCACTGTTCTCAGTGGAAGTACGCTGTATCTTACCTGTTGATCAACTGTACTAGTAAAAGACTAAGAGAAAGTGCCAGGACATTCACGCTAACAAATATCATTGTTAACTTGTAATCTAAAATGAAATCTGGAAAGTCAACTCGGATCCTCTTTTCCACAGGCTAAAAGTACAGTTTGTGCCGTTTCCTTGGGTGCTGGGGGCCTGGAGTAGAGCCAGGTTTCTGTTGGGCAGCCCAAGGCAAGCAGTGTGAATCCCAAGAAGGCGCCTGCTTCACCCGCTGCCTTAGCCTGCCTGCGTTGATCGAGCAGTCTGCACTATTCCAAGGCTTTGGGGATAGGAAGAATAAGTGATAAGACGCCTGCCTGCCCCTGGGAATTCAGTCTGCAGAGAACTCAAAACACACACCATGGAAAGACACAGAAAATCAGTGTTGAAGTGTCCCTCACGCTCCTTCATGCTGGGGGAACGACTCTGGGTTTCCACCTGCTCTGCAAAAGCCTTGCACTGGGCTTTCATTCACTCCTATGATAACAGTCCAAATCCTGCCTGGTCCAGGAGGCCTGGGATCCACCCCACTCCTCTCCCATACTCCCCTGCTGTCCCCCACCACATTGCTCCCACACTGGGTGCACAGGCCTCTTCAGCTCCTTCCAGTCTTGAACGTCCAGTTCCTGCTGCCTGGAGGACTCTTCCCTCTGCCCTATTTTTACCTGGTGAGCAAAGTCTCATCCTGCACATTCCGTTTTTTAGCAATGCTTCCTGAGAAGTGTCCCCCACCTGTCCCCCTCCACCAAAGACATGAAGGTTTCCTGAGAGCACTTGTATTTTCTCATGATGGCACTGTCCCAACTGCACTTAAGCCATTGTATATTTAGTGTTCCAACTATCATCTCCATAATAACACTTGCTACAATCGCAGTTAAACAATTTTGTATTTAGTTGTCTGACAGTCGTCTCCCCTAACATGAACCTAAAAAAAGCAATGTTGGTTTCCATCTGTCCTTTTTGCTGCCATCTCTACAGCAACTAAAATAGACTGTCACCTAAAAGGTGCAGCAAATATTTGTTGAATGAATTAATGAATGATTGAGTAAATTCTATAAGAGTACAAGAAGACATTAACTTTCAAATGCCCTTAATAATTATACTTGCTTTACCAAAATGAGAAGGCAAATCAGAATTAGCTAAGCATTTCCTCCATCATTCATTCCCTCAGCAAATGTTCATTGAGCACCTACAATGTGACAGCTCCTGTCCTAAAAGCCAAGTATACCATGATGGAGAATATAAATCAGCAGATCATCATCATCATCATCATCATATAAATATCTAATTTTAGGTTGTAATTTACTATGTAAAGTACTATGAAGAAAAACAAAGATAAGAGAAGAGAAAGTGGTTAGGGTGCTGGGCACAG